TAAAAAATGTCATCACCTTGGCATTTGATTGAAAGTGATCAAATACGTAAGATTTATTGCTGAGTGAAACAAGCCAGGCTATGAAAGAGAGACATTGTATGTCCCCACTTAACATATACCAATTGTCCACACTCTATGGTAGAGACTGAAAGATTGGAGGACATAAAAGTATCAACAATAGTTATGGACACTGGGAACAGTGTGGAAGGAGTATGTGAGAGGGGAAGAGTATAAGGAAGGAAATCAGAGAAAAAAGAGAGATACAAGATATTCGTGGGACATAGAAATAAATGGTTTATTACCTGTTGATGATAACATGTATAGTATTCTCAACTGGACTGGTCTGAGGTGTATTTCATGTTGGGTAAATTCTCTTTAGAAGCTAAATGATGTATCACAATAAAATGTTTAAAAAATAATAATAACTGAAAGAAACAAAAACCCGGCACCCAACTTGGAGTGTTTATGTTGTAACCACATACATGAGAGGCCACAGATTGTAGTCAAGAGTAATGAGCTTTTCTTCCTTACAAAAGTTAACGCTTGAATATTGGACTTTAATAAATACTTAACAAATATGGGGGGGGGTAAGAAATGTGACTTAGAAGAGGACGCCACCTTTCCTAAAAAATGTTTGTTTTGCCCAGCCAAGGGAATGCTGTTGCCATTTGTTCAGGTCATCTTTGATTTCACTTTCTTCAGCACTTCGTAATTTTTAGGAAACTGATCACGTACATGTTCTGAAAAGTTTGAATCTCTTTATGTGAATATCTCTGGAGCAGTTGTGACTGGGAACTGTGCTTTTGGTCTCCACGTTTACGTGTGCGTTTGGGCTCCACATTCACATGTGCATTTTGCTCTCCATGTTCACATGTGCATTTCAGTCTACACATTCCCATGTGTGTTTGATCACCACATTCACGTGTGCGTTTGGTCTACATGTTCCTGTGTGTGTTTGATCTCCACGTGCACATGTGCATTTGGTCTCCATGTTCACGTGTGCGTTTGGTCTCCACGTTTACATGTGCATTTGGGCTCAACATTCACGTGTGCGTTTTGCTCTCCACGTTCACATGTGTGTTTGGTCTACACGTTCACGTGTGCGTTTGATCTCCACGTTCATGTGTGCTTTTGGTCTCCATGTTCCTGTGTGCGTTTTGCTCTCCACGTTCACGTGTGCATTTGGTCTCCACGTTCACTTGTACATTTGGTCTCCACATTCACGTGTGCATTTTTCTCTCCATGTTCACGTGTGTGTTTTGCTCTCCACGTTCCCGTGTGCATTTGGTCTCCACATTCCTGTGTGCATTTGGGCTCCACGTTCACATGTGTGCCATTAATCCACGCATCTTGTAGTCACCTTGAGTTGACACATGAAGTTAGCCGTCGCCAGCCCACCCCGGGCCACACAGCACCCTACATGCCTCTTTAAACCAAGTAAGACACGGCAGGGCCGCAGCTTGCCAACACCGCACAGCCATCCCAGGGCCCCCGAAGGCAAGTCGCTCAGTGGTGCCAACCCGCCCCCGGACGTCCCTGAGTGGTGCCGACCCATTCCCCGATACTCGAACTTAGCTTCTAGGACGAGGACGGAGAACATGGGACTTAACCACGGACAAAGCTGTCCCGTGATAAGGGAGTAAAAAACGAACAAAGACATCAGCTTCATTTACACGCGCGCACGTGACATCGGCTTCATTTACACACGCGCACGCGACATCGGCTTCATTTACACACACGCACGACAGGCTCGTAAGGAAACAGGAGGTTCTCGTGACAGTGCCATCCTCATTTCTGGAGCTGGCCCCCTGGTCCTGATTTCATACCGGGGCTGTCCCCTTTGCCTGCGGAAGCTCTTCAGCTGGCCGTGGCCCTCCACCTGGCAGGGTTAGCCACACTTTCACCCTCCTGCCTGGATCGAGTGCTGGTTGTTTTCCGTGGCCCTTATCACAGATGCCCTGAGGGACCTGCTGCATCCTGGCCACGTCTCCTCAGCTCATTGGAGGGCACTAGTCCAGTGTCCCCTTGGAACTTGGACCTGTCACCCCAGCCAGCCACAGTTACTCCCCTGTGTGCGTGTTTGCAGTGGCCAGGAGACAGCCTCAGCTTCCAGCTCAGTGGGTGTGCCCGTGTCTCTGAGTGGAGGTCCCCCTCCCTCTGGCGCTCAGGCATCCTGGCCAGCGGAGCAGACAGTCCCGTGTCAGGAAACATGCTTTGTTAGTGGTGGCTGGGTGACAGTGAGCGGTGCCACTCCTGTCCCTGGGCTCCTGCAGTGAGTCCTGGCCATGGGCAGAGACACCGCGTGTTGCGGCTGACCCAGAGCGCAGCCTCAGGCCTTGCCAGCCAGCACAGCACTGCCTCCTGGCTGATGCTGTGGCTGTCTCCAGGCTGCGGCGCTGTCCCGTCAGCCAGGCCGCAGACCTCGCTCCTTGGCCACAGACACCAGCTGCTCTGTTGCCAGCCGGAGAGCGGTCAGAACCAAAAAGAGTGTGTGGCGGTTTGTACATGGCAAAACGAGTCAGAAGCCCGTCCATGTGTCCGCAGTAGTTGTTAGGTCGGGAAAGTCAGCGTGCATTTTTCTGTGTTTTTCTATGCAAAAATGAGTCATGACTTTCCTGATGACTATGTGTGTATGTACACACACATGCACACACTCACACATACACACATGCACACATACATACACACGATGCACACATTCATACACACGCACATATTCATACATACATGTACACACATTTCATACATGCATGCATGCACACATTCGTACATGCATGCACACATACATGCACACCTGAACACATTCATACATACACAGTGCACACATTCATACATACATATATGCACACACGCACACATTCATGCATACATACACACATGCATGCATGAATGTATGCACACATTCATGCATACATGCATACACACATTCATACATATACACATGCACACATTCATACACACATGCACACACATGCACACATGCACGCATTCATACACATGCACACATTCATACACACATTCATGCATACGTACACACATGCACACATTCATACACACGTGCACACATTCATGCACATTCATGCACACATACACACATTCATACACACATGGACAGCTTCATACATACGTACACACATGCACACATTCATACACACACATGCACACATTCATACACACACATGCACACATTCATAGATACATACACACATGCACACATTCATACACACATGCACACATTCATACACACGTACACACATTCATGCATACGTACACACATGCACACATTCATACACACATGCACACATTCATACACACGTACACACATTCATACATACGTACACACATGCACACATTCATACGCATACATGCACACATTCATACACACATGCACACACTCACACATACGTACACATATGCACACATGCACACATATGCACACACTCATACACACATGCAAACATTCATACGTACACGTATGCACACATTCATACATACACACATGCACACATTCATACATACGCACGTGCACACATACATGCACACATTCATACACACATACACACACACACTTTTTTTTTTTAGTTTTTTTTGCCAGAGGGTGTGTGCACTCACTGGAGAGAGACCGAGAGAGGAAGAGTGAGAAGTCACCCCCAGGGGATAGCCAGGCTGCAGTAGTTTCTTCGTTCTCCTCTTGGGGTTTTTGGGCACACACATGCACCCAATTGTGTTTTTCAAGCCCCTGAGCCCAGGACTGGAACCTATGGAATTGGCCATGGGATCCAGCACCTTAACAACCATGCTACCTCCTGGCCCTCTGTAGACATGTCTGAGGGCCCGCTAAACAGTGCTGAGCTGCTCCTAGCTCCAGAATGGCACAAGAGATGCGCCTCCTCAGAGGTCAGCCTGGGCCAGGCCGCCCCACCTCCCCCTCCCCCACTCATCGCCACCTCTCTGAGCCCACTGCCACCCTCTTACCTCTCCTCACCCCCACGCCACTGGGCTGCGGGAGGGTGACTTTGCAGAAATAAGGAATTCAAGTATGGGCCTTTTCATTTATCTTACTCAATTTGAGAATCAGTGTCTTCCCAAAAGCATTATCTTTAGTTCTTCTATTGGCTCTATTTTTACCTTTAAATGAAACAGTAAGCTTTGCTTATTGTTCTTCTACTTTAAACAGTTAGTGAAGTAAAACATACCCACCAAGATGCACAGAGCAGACGTGCTCTTCGGAGGCCATCAGTAAACAGATGCAGCTTTGTACAGCTCAGCACCCCCCGCCAGCACCGTGGGGTCCCACGTTCTCGCTCTCTCTACGGCACATTTTGAAATGATGTGACTTCAGTCCAGTTTGAATTTAAGTAGATGGAGCGGTACGCAGGCATTCTTTTGTCCTCTGGGTTTGGAGGTTTACGTGTGGACAGCTGCAGCGCGTGTCCCGGGAAGGCATTTGAAAGCAGGCACAGCTCACTGCTTCCCGTCTGCGGTGTGTGAACGCTGGGCTGCCCACGCTGAACCACGCTATGGGCGCATCCCTGCCCGCGTCTTCAGCTGCGCCGGCAGGGGTGTGCAGTCTGTAGATGGAGCTTCAGGGATGACACCAAGTCGGCTCCCAGGGCAGCTGCACCCATGTCCCGGTGGTTGGTCACATGTGAGTTCTTGCTCCTGGGTCCTCACACCTGCCAGCACTGCCGAGGGTCACGTCTGCATTGCCCGCTCAGCCTCTCATGTGTATTCCTGTTGGGCTGCCCGTCATGTGTTGGAGGAGACACCTTACGTGTGTGTATGTGTGTTGAGCTGCTCGTCCCTGTGTCGGGAAAGCCCCCTCATGTGTTTACATGTTGAGCTGTCTGTCCCCATGTCAGGGGAGCTGCCTCACGTGTGTGTACGTGTGTTGGGCTGCCCGTCCCACGTCGGGAGCTGCCCCGTGTGTGTGCATGTGTTGGGCTGCCTGTCTCGTGTCGGGAGCCGCCTCACGTGTGTCTTTGTGTGTCTTCCTGCAGGACGACGTGATGATGCCACAGAGGGTGAGGCTGCAACTCGAGGCCGCCAGGGAGCACCCGAGCAGCGTAAGGACAGCGCTCTGTCTTCGCGGCGTGCCTCTTCGGGCGTGTCGCCCTCCTGGTCTTTACAGTGGGGAGCTGGCTGCGGCAGGGCGTCCACAGCGGCGAGCTCTGCGGGGACCGAGGGCTTTCCTTGTTCTCCGTCAGCATCCGAGAGGCTGAGCAGTGTCAGCAGTTCAGAAACTCCCAGGCCCCGCCCCCCAGAGCACTCCTTGGTGAGCCCTTGTCAGCAGGGCCTGTGGGCGTGCCAGGTGCATGTCCCTGCCTTGCAGTCCACCACACCCACCACGGTTAAGTTAGGAAGAAACCTTCGAATTAGGGTGCCGATCGCTGGCTTCGGCTACGGGAGGCCTGGAGCATGGGCTTACAGGGGCAGCCCTTGCCTATGTAGGCCCCTCCCCTGCACCAGACGGCACCTGGCGTGTGTCATGTGTGGTTGGGTCACTGTAGGATGCTGTGTTCACGTGGGCCGGCCTTGCTCATAGTGCCGGGCTTGCCTAGAACCCCCAGAGCAGACACCTCTCGAGCCGTCCAAAGGATTTTGCTTCATCCAGGACGGCGGCCTGCCCCCCCGTAGGCTGCTGGGGAGCTTTCTAGGCCACTCACAGCTGCTCACAGGGCTCAGCATTGCGGACCGCCCTGCTTCCCGCCAGGTCTGCACCTCTGGTGACAGAGCCTGGTTCCCGCTGTGCACAGGGCGGCCCTCACACTCCCCTCCTCTTTTAAGTTTGTGTATTTCTTCCATTGAGAGAAAGAGAGTGGGAGGTGGGCATCACCAGCAGGGTCTGGACATAAGTGCCCGCAGTCTTAGCCAGCCCAGGCCCTGGGCACAGGTACAGCATATGGGAGAGGTCTCAGATGCAAACCTAGGGCCTGCCCACGTGGCCGCAGCCTTGCAGAGTGACGGTTCCCGCTGTGCCAGTGTGGGCCCCACGCACTGCTCCTGTGGGTCTCCATTGTCCCCGCGTGGATGAGGACAGGCCTTCCGCCTCGGGTTTGATGCTGGAGAGCTTCACTCCTGGACCGTCCTCACGTTTTGTGGAACACCATTGGGGTGTGCCTGTCAGATGCCGGGAGAGGCCCAGCTGCTCCAGGAAGCCACCCCACAGCCTTGTGGGTGCCCCCACTCCCACGGCTCTCTGGGTGACCCTGTGTGCCCCAGGCGGTAGGGGTGGTGCAGGGTCTTGGGTCCTAGGAACACTCGGCCATGCTGGGCCCAGGGTAAGTTTTGTAGCCAGAGGTCGGCTTGGTGGCTCAGCCAGCCGTTAGTGGGGCCCCAAGTCCTGTGTCCCGTGCCCCTGGGGGGGGTGCC